AGTGCTGGGATTACAGGTGTGAGCCACCGCACCTGGCCAGTTTTTTATATTTTTAGTAGAGATGAGGTTTCACCATGTTGGCCAGGCTGGTCTTGAACTCCTGACCTCAAGTGATCCGCCTGCCTTGGCCTCCCAAAATGCTGGGATTACAGGTGTGAGCCACCATGCCCAGCTGTAAATAAAGTTTTGCTGGAACACAGCCACACTATTTCTTAATGTATTGTATATAACCGCCTTTGTGCTGCAGCTACAGAATTGAGTAGTTGTGAGGAGATCATATAACCTGTAAAGTCTAAAATATTTACAGAATAAGTGTGCCATTCCTGTGCATTGATTTCCCAGTGCTGCTAGAACAAGTTACCACAAACTTAGTAACTTAACAAATCTGGTGACTTAAAACAACACAAATTATTTTACAGTTCTGGAGACTAGAAGTCTAAAATCAGTTTTACTCGGCTGATGTCAGAGGTATAGGCAGAGCAGGTTCCTTCTGCAGGTTCTAGGGGAAAATCTGTTTTCTTGCCTTTTCTAGCTTCTGAGGCTACCTGTATTCCTCAAATCCTAACTCCCCCTTCTCATCATTCCAGTCTCTTGATTCATTGTGACATATGCTTCCTGTGTCAAATCTCCCTCTGCCTTGTTCTTATGGGGACAGTTGTGATTACATTTAGGGCTAACCCAAATAATTCAATATAATCTCCCCATCTCAGTGTCTTTAACTTAATCACGTCTGCAAAGTACCTTTTGCCATATGAGGTACATTTTTACAGGTTCTAGGGAGTAGGACTTTGATGTCTTTAGGGGCCATTATTTAGCTTACCACAGGCTTCCATCTGGTCCCTAAAGATTTACATTCATCCTACATGCAAAGTGCATTCACTGTATTGCAATAATCTTCCAAAATCTAAACCCCATTGCATTAACTCTGGTCCAAGATGTCATTAAATATTATAACTCCAGAGTCCCAAATCTCATCATCTAATCATCTAACTCCAGTATAGGTGAGTTTCTGGGTATGATTCATCCCAAGACAGAATTCCTCTTTATCTATGGACCTGTGAAACTAGAAAACAAGTTACGTGCTGTGGAAATACTGTGGTGCGACAGGCCTAGAATAACAATTATATACATTCCGATTCAGAAAGGGAGACAATGGGAGGAAAGAAAGGAGTCACTAGCACCAGACAATTTTTAAATTTAATCAGGCAAACTTTTAGATTTCAAGGGTTGGGAATAATCCCTGTGGCACCCAGCTCTACTCTGTGGGCCAGAGGGTTGTGTATGTATTGTGTATGGCTACTTTCATGTTACAGCAACCAAATCAAGTGGTTGTGGGGTGGTCATATAGCCTGCAGAGCCTGAAATATTTACTAGATTGTTCCCTGTCAGAATGTATGCTTGTTGAGGGCAGAAATCTTTGTCTCTTTTGCTTACTAAAGTATCCTAAGTGTCTGGAGCAGTGTCTGACACTTAATAGACACTCACTGAAACGCTGAACTAAAAAAAAAATTTAAGCAATTTAATAGAGATGAGAGGGCAAAACTTTTGACATTGCTGAAGTAGTAACCCTATTTATAGATAAATAAAACATTTAAAAAGAGAACTCTTAAAAACATAGCTACATATTAAAATAATCTACATTTTAAAATAGCATACTGTATTCCAACAAAAATTGTAGCAGAATGACTAACACCAACATGCATCTTGGTTAACTTGTACTGTGGAGAGAAATAATTTTTAAGACTTCTGGCAGAAGAAGCTAGTCATTTAAAAGTGAAAAAAACTAAGTCCGACTTCAGCCATTCATGGCAGTTTTCAGTGTCAGAAAAGAATGAGGACAGTGTCTGCAAAGTTTTAAGAAACAGAACATGTGATACAAGAATAATACAGCAAAGCGAATTGTCATTCAAGTACAGGGATAACAAGCAGACTTCCACACTGTAAAGAATTCAGGGGCCATAACACCTGTGAGCTTTTCTTGAAAAATAAAATTAAGCATTAAAGTTATGTTAAAGCATTAAATCAAAAGAGTGAATTCTGTAAGAGGGGCTACAGGAAATGAATTACCAGTGAGCATTGAATTTATTCAATTATAGAAGTAAGGTTAAACTACTATAGAAATTATGATTAAAGATAGAATATAAATGTTATAATCCATGATAATACAAAAAGAATAATACTAACAAAAATTTGGAAATACACGGGAGGGCAGATGAGAGAGGAGAAAGCTCATGTGCATTAATTTTTGTGCTTTCATAGCTTAAGTCTTTTATCTAAAGTTTTATGGCAGCAACAAAAAGAACTAGAGTGTAAATCTTCCATATTTCAGAAAGAAAACACATTCACTTAGAAAACAAAACACACTCTTACATCTGTATTGTCTAATAAGATAGCTATTAGATACATATGGCTGTTACAGTGAACATTAATTGAACTTTTGTAAAATTAAAAATTCAGTTCACTAGCTATATTTCAAGTGCTCATTAGCCACATGTAGCTTGTGGCTACTATATTGAATGATGTTAGAACATTTTCCATCATTGCATAAAGTTCTATTGGATAACACTGCCTTATAGGAAACAAAGAAAGTGTTAAAAATAGAGATGTAACACAAAACAAATTGACAGAATTAACACCAGACATTGCCTATTAAAAGAAATACAGATTAGTTTAAAAATGAAATACAACTAACTATATGCTATATATTGTGATGTATATAAAACAAGGCAAAGCAAAATTTGAATATAAAAGGAGGGGTGAAAGCATATAAGGCAAACACTACTGAAAGGAAGCTTGGGTGAAGGTGTTAATAATTAGAAAATGGAATTAAATACAGAAAGTTTTGAATGAGACAAGAATGAGGCACTTTATCCAAAATGAGGAGAAACTGTCATGAATTATTTATTAATATATCACCAAAGTACATAAGCCAAAAATCACAAAAAAATGTAAATAGAAACAAAATAGTATCAGCCCTTGTTTTAAAAAGAAGGAAAAACCTAAGGGTATAAAGGATATGAATAATAAACTTGATACAGATTAATTAATACTTATGAAAACCTTACCTTTATAATAGAAAAGTGACCTTTACAGGTATTCATGGAACACTTACAAATTATTCAACATTCAACCCCTGAAAACCCGTTAATTCTAGAATGTGGAAATGTAGTCGAGACTTACTCTGTCATTACAATGCAATCAAACAATACATTTATTTTGAGAAGAAAATGAACAGATAGTACCCAGATATGTTAAAATGGAAAAATAAAAAGAAAGCCTCAACGTTTGGGCCAGTATATAAGTAAAAATTGAAATTAAAGAATATTTTAAAAATCTAATGATGAAAACCTATGATTTCAACTAAAGCTATGCCCAGAGGAAAATTCATAGCCCTTAGCACTTAAATTACTGGATGAGTGTATTGTTCAGGGCTCCCCGTTGCTAGCAATAGAGTCTAGTTCATAGATACTCTTGGAAATCCGGAAAACCAAGCTTGCATCTGATAGAGCCAGAAAGAGTGTGTCAGAGAAAAATGCCCACGCTGCAAAAATTTTTAAGTACAGGACACTTCCAAAAAAAATGTCTTTTTTTTGTTTGAGACAGCGTCTCACTCTGTTACCCAGGTTGGAGTGCAGTGGCGCCATCTCAGCTCACTGCAACCTCTGCCTCCTGGGTTCAAGCAGTCCTCCCACCTCAGCCTCCCAAGTAGCTGAGACTTCAGGCACATGCCACCACGCCAGGCGAATTTTTGTATTATTTGTAGAGACGGGGTTTTGCTATGTTTCCCAGGCTGGTCTTGCATTCCTGAGCTCAAGTGATCCTCCCTCCTTGACCTCCCAAAGTGCTGGGATTACAGACGTGAGCCACTGCACCCGGCCAAATTACTTTTCTAATTGAAAAAGAAATGAAGGACTATCAGTCAAAACTTTTTCCTCTTGGTGTGCTAATGGAGGGAGTCAGAGTTGTAGGTCATTTTGGATTATGTGAGAGGAGTTGAGGTAGTGGAGAGATTGATAGCAGTAGGATAAATGCATGGGGAATTAAAGAAGGGAGGGTAAAAGGTTAAAAACCTCTTTAAAGCATGGGTGTGGAATTTTGTAGCTCAGTTCACACTTCTGCCTGTTTTTGAAGCTCAACAGAAAGGTCTGAAGCCATTGATAATTTTAGAAAGCCATGCCAAAGAGCAATACCTCATGAGTTAATTATTTTTGTTAATTTATTTTAAAAAGTTATGTCTAGTCTGATGGGATTTTAGGATTTGGGGATATGTCAGACTAGGACTCTTTATACCATTGTCCTTTGTTTGTTTGTTTGTTTATTTATTTATTTATTTGAGACGGAGTCTTGCTCTGTCACCCAGGCTGGAGTGCAGTGGTGCGACCTCGGCTCACTGCAAGCTCTGCCTCCTGGGTTCACACCATTCTCCTGCCTCAGCCTCCTGAGTAGCTGGGACTGCAGGTGCCCACCACCACGCCTGGCTAATTTTTTGTATTTTTAGTAGAGACGGGGTTTCACTGTGTTAGCCAGGATGGTCTCGATCTCCTGACCTCGTGATCCGCCTTCCTTGGCCTCCCAAAGTGCTGGGATTACAGGTGTGAGCCACTGTGCCCGGCCTGTCCTTAGTTTATTTTTTATGCCAATTACCAGTATCTAAAATTATGGGGAAAGGGTTGTTTTGTTTATGTGATTATCTTTCTTCCTCCTAGAATGTAAGTTCCATGAAGGTGAAGGACTTTTTGCCTTTTACTAATTTTGCTCATTGCTTTATTCTTGAATTAGAACAGTTTTCTATGCAGTAGTCTTAGCATATATACAAAGAATATTTATATTCCATAAATATTTGTTTATGGAATATAAAATAAGTATAAATATTCCTCCATAAATTTGTTGAATCAGTAGCTGCATTAAGGTAATTATGGGACAACTGGAAATTGACTAAGGGTGAACTCCACGGGAGAGATTTTAATTGATCTTATGTTAACCAATTTGATTTTTCTTAGTCTGACTAAAGACATGACTGGAAAAGAAGATGTATACCGAGGCCCGGCCATCAGGGCTCTCTGCAGAATCACTGATGTAAGTTCTCTGTTTTACTGAGTTATCAAATGGAACACTATGTTTATCTGCGGGTAGCCATGTAGATTTCGTAGGATTTCCTAGTCTAACTTTGTGAATCTTCAGTATAAGAGAAACATGATCACCAGAAAGACTTTTGTGACTCCAGTCTTTCTTTTTTCTTCAAATTTTTTTCCTTTAATTTATTTATGTTAGTCCATTTTCTCTCTTTATTTGCCCTCTTGAACTGTTGTAATGAGGGTACATTGCTTGCAGGAAACAAAAACCCATTCAAATTTATCTTAAAAAGCTTTATTATAGGACACAAATCTCTCAGAATTTGAGGTGAAGCTTACAGGTAGACACCAGGGCAAGAAATTGGGCAGCTTTAAGAATTCAACAGAAGATTTTTTTTTCTTTTTCTTTTTTTGAGTTGGAGCCTCGCTCTTTCGCCCAGGCCAGAGTGCAGTGGCACGGTCTCGGGTCACTGCAACCTCCGCCTCCCGGGTTCAAGTGATTCTCCTGCCTCAGCCTCCTGAGTAGCTAGGATTTCAGGCACCCACCACCACACCCAACTAATTTTTTTTTTTTTGTAGCAGTTTGAACAAACTGAAAACTGTATTCTTCTGTGTGAGCTGAACTCAAGTTTCAGAATAATCATCGCCATGTAGGAGGCTTTTTGTTAAAATGCAGAAGAAATCTCAAAATACTGTATTTATATCCGCCTTCCACTGCTGCCAGTATAGTACGCATCTCCTACACAATCAACAGTAAACAGCAAATGATGCAGTTCATAGAGTATTTTGCACTTGGGAAAAAATATGTATCTGAATTTTAAAAAGAAATATTTAGATTTTGTATGTCTTTTTTATTATTATTAAAATACTAAGTGAAACTCCTCAGCCTGGCATCTTTTCCTCTATCTCAATAGCTTATCCCAGAGCCAGAAAAAGCCTTGAGGAGACGATGTCTTCTGGCTTCCAGATAAAACTTACCCAAATTTTTTGGCAACTCATCCCTAATGATTTTAAAATTCGAAAAGGCTTGTCTTTTTGTCTGTCCTTAAAAGCAGTATCAAGTATTATCTCCTAAGGGGGATCTAAGGAGTGGGGGAAATTTATAGTTCCTCCTCACCGCAGTACAGTTCACAACCGCTGGCCAACCCACAGGTGGCTCAGCACCTCCCTAATCAAGATGTCCCAACTCCAGGAAAGTGCCAGCACTGGGGGTCAGCCAGTGTCATTCTTTGTATACACTCTTGGCCACCAAATAGTATTGTGAAATGCAGATCATTCAGCCGCTACCATCATCACTACTCCTACAGAGCACGAGAAAGCAATCTCCAATCTCTTTTATAAATGAACAGTCCTAACTTCTAGGCTCAGAGATGATAGATAAAACTTAGCTGTTGCAATTGTATAATTCCCTGACATGAAATTTAGTTGGATTTAATATCTACATGATATAGCCATTTAAGAGTATAACTTGAGAAAAAAGGAAAAAATCTACCTGATCAAAAAACATGTTGGGGTGACCTATAAGAATCGTAAACTTCCCCTTTAGCATCTGTATTGAAGATATAGATGAAGTACATTCATTCCATAATTACTAAGCTCCTATTATGTGCCAGGCAGTGAGCATCAGCTCATTGGCAATAGCCATGCTCAAGATCCACGCTCCTCATGTAACTTTCTGATTATAATTGATCTTCCCAGATAAGATTTCCCCAACAGGAGCGATAATCCAGTTCACTTAGTGGGTATAAGTGTAAAAGAATGCACTGGCATTCTATTATGTACATAACTTCCTATGAGTTTGATTTAATGTGACAAAACGTGAATACCTTTGTGTGGAGTGACAAAATCACACTTCTAGAACTGCAAAGCCAAGGACCGTATCCATGACCTTCACACTACACCAACTCGGAGCCATCCTCTTTGACTTCTCTCATAACTCACTTCTATTCCAAGAACAAGTCTTCCTCCTTACTTCTGGGACATTTGCTTTGGTGTCTCAAAATAATGGATAGTCAGGGACATTGGAGTTTGGATATGCCTTTATTAAGAAGTCTTCCAAGTGGGGTAAATGAAGATTTTCCTAGGGTATGGGAAGACTGCAAGGAATACTTAGGCAATATCCTCAAATCAGTCTGAGAAGAGTTTTAAAGGAATACATTTCCAGATCTCCAACTTCCCTATGAAATATTTTCTAAAACCAGGCCGACGCCAGGCTGATTTTTATATTTTTAGTAGAGACAGGGTTTCACCATGTTGGCCAGGCTCTTTACTGTGGTGATCCGTCATGTACTAGACACAGGCCCTCTTGTTCCAATATTTAAGAGAGAGAATCTGATTAGCCAGCAGTAGGCCAGTAGCTTATATCAACCTGTGTCTGAGTCAGGTGTTTAATTTTGATCCAGTTCATTATATCTGGAGGGATGAGATCATTTGGTCTGTTTGGCTGTCTCTTTCTGGGAACTCTGAGTAGGAAGGGCAGGCCAGGCATTGCCAAGCAAATTGAATAATAGCTATATACTCATGCTTGGGTATATTTTAGGTGTATGTTTGTAACCTTCTCAAGTTGTAAAGGTTGAGCAGGACCAAATTATATATTTGATAACTCTGGATCCTAGAAGGAGTAATAGAAATGCTGTAATATTTTTTTGTGCACTGTGGTTTTGTTGTGATTGTTTTAATTTATTTTTAGCATTAAATTGGTAGCAGCATGAGCCTTGACCATGCTAGTGCTAGCAATAAAACTCTTTTTTTCATCTGAATATTGTTCTCAGTCTTTTTACTCATCTTTATCTGCCACCATCTTCCCAGTGCTTTTTCCCAGTTAAAGTTGAAAAGAACTGTATTTCCAGAGGATGTTATATTGAGGGCTCATTATAGTAATATGCTACACATTTAGTTCTTTATGTATCTCAGATAATCAGGGATTACATTTGATTTCTAGGACTTTCTGGGATCTGTATGTAATATGTACCCTTCACATAGAGGAATCTTCATAACTTCAAAAGCAGGCTCCATCTCCATATAGGAATTTCTTTATAACTTTCCTGATGGATTCAGCGTCTACTTCTATATTTCTTCCAAACTGTGATTCTCCATTTTGGGACAGTTTATTTCATTGTTGAACAGTTATTCTTCTTTATATGTAATCTAAAATGTTCTTTCTTAAAGCTTCAACTTCGTTGTTGGGGTTCTGCGCTTTGGGATATTATTACTATATTATCATCCTTTCAGTGCATTCTAAATATTTGCACAGAAACAAATACAAGATTAGTTTTTGAAAATTATTTTGAAGCATAAGAGTGATTTTGCATAAAAATGTTTTTCCTTAACAATTTTTTCTTTTTGAATGTTATTAGGGAACAATGTTGCAAGCCATTGAAAGATACATGAAGCAGGCCATTGTGGATAAAGTTTCCAGTGTATCCAGTTCAGCACTGGTGTCTTCCTTGGTAAGTGAACAAGCAGCTTCCTAGTTCTTATGCATGGTACAGTTTGGAGTTGCAAAAACAAGGTATCACTAGGATTCTCTCACAAATGAAACAGTTAAAAATATGTATATACCTCTATTACTTTATCCAAGTGTGTTTTATCTAGAGCAGGGGTCCCCACCCCAGGGCTTCAGACCAGTACTGATCCGTGGCCTGTTAGAAACTGGGCTACACAGCAGGTAGTGAGTGGCAGGCAAGCGAGTATGACGGCCTGAGCTCCGCCTCCTGCCAGATCAGCAGCAGCATTAGATTCTCATAGGAGCTCGAACCCTATTGTGAGCTGCCCATGCAGGGATCTAGGTTGCTGGCCTCATATGAGAATCTAACTAATGCCTGATGATCTGAGGTGGAACAGTTTCATCCAAAAACTATCCCCCTGCCCACTATCCATGGGAAAATTGTCTTCTGTAAAACCAATTCCTGGTGCCAAAAAGATTGGAGATTGCTGATCCATAGGATCATTGAGCAATTAAAAACATAACATTTTCATATGTTTGAAAGGTTTTGGAAATCTAAAAGTTATGTTGTACACATAATAAAAGAGGGGTAAGTGTGGGATATGGGACAGGGAAGAAACCTAGGGCCCTTTTCTTTCATTTAAAATCTTCTTTATGACCTGCCTTTATGACTTCTACTACTTTTCTGTTTGTCCTCTGCTTTTTCTGGTGCCCTTTGTCTACGTGTATCCTTCAATCCAAAGTTTCCTGTCCCACTTCTGAATTTCCTCCCAGGAAGTGGTCTTTTTTTAAGTAATATATTTTTCTTTCTGGTTTTCAGCAGAACACAATTTATGCATTAAAACCTATCACACTGCATTTGATTAACATCACTTACATAGTGTGAATGTATAAGACATCTAAATACAAGAGTTCCTGATTCTGGAATATAATTAGCTGAGTTTTATAGCAGAGAATAATACACAAGCAGAGAACTTGTGTACTGTCTGTCTTCCAGGGGAGTTTCCCGGAAATAAGGCTTATAATGATGATGTTATTTAAGCACCTTTCTGTTGACTGTCCATCCCCATCCTGTTCTTCCTCTTTCATTACTTCCTTTTACGTACCTCTCCCAGCTCACAAACATATACTCACCTTTGTAACAGGTGTGGGAAAAAGTACTTCTCGTTTATCAGTTGCTCCAGGAGTAGAGACACAAAATAGACTTATAAGAGCTACGTAGTTTTCTTCCTCTTTGGAAATGTCTGTTAGTGATTTTCCAAGAAAACTAACTCATGTTTCTAAGCTTCTAGTGACATGCATTATTTATTCTCATTTTTTTTTTTTTTCTGTATTTAGCACATGATGAAGATAAGCTATGATGTGGTTAAGCGCTGGATCAATGAAGCCCAAGAAGCTGCATCAAGTGATAATATTATGGTCCAGGTACTGTCAGTGAATCACATTAGCTTATGTCTCAGGATCAGCATTCTTTAAACCTGTATTGTAGGGGCAGTGTATTGATTCCCTAGATAAACATTAACTAAAGGTAAATTAAGCAGCTACTAGTATATATTCTGAAGTAGGAGTCTCATTAATTATGATTACTGCCATTTGAATACTGCCCTTCAAGTGTTTCGTAGAAGCTCGATGACCCTGTGTAGGGATATTTGGGAAAGATTATAGATTGAGATGCTCATTTCAGTCTTTGAAAAATAATTTGTGTAAAAAGATATTCAATTCCAAGTTCTGAGGCCTTGATTATAGACGTTAAAAAAATCATAAGGAGCAGCTTTTACTTTATGAAACTTTGAAACCATTTTGTCAAAAAGAGCTTCTTTTCATATTTATCAGGTTATTCTTTATTAAGAGGAACAAGATTAAATTCTTAACTGGAAATTGTATGTAAAGTACCCCATTTTGTTTGAGAGGGTGTTTAGGCCCTCTTGATGTTTATAACTTCTATGGTAGCACATTTAGTTATTAGGAAACAAGAGTAGCCATTTTTCCCTTGGGAAACACTCTCGTTCTGGTGACTCTGATCATGTGGTTTTATACAAAGTGTCAAGATAATGACATTCTTGTAGCATGCTTTAGATTAATCCTTTAATTACTAAGGTGGCCACACATGATGTAAAGCCACTCGTAGAGACAGATAGCACCAGTAAAGCCCTGGGCCTGAGCACGTGTGTACTGAGGATGTGTGAGCCAGTGTTGAGCCTGCTAGAGCCATCTTCAGATTGTATGTCACCTCCTTTATACCTGCCAGTCTGAATTGACAACTTCTGGGGGGTAAATTAGAAACTCTTAATCTTTTTAGTCTTGCCTGTGTTTAGTTCAGTGTGAAAAAGATATTCGTGTACATGTGACCTGGGTATTTAAAAGAAATCTTTAATCTAGTTCCATGTGATTCTATTTTTGTGTAAATATTTTGATGTCTTTCTAATCCATGTGCTGCTTTCTTTTTCGTTTTCTTTAGTACCATGCATTGGGAGTCCTGTATCACCTTAGAAAGAATGATCGACTTGCTGTTTCCAAGATGTTGAATAAGTTTACTAAATCTGGTCTCAAGTCACAGTTTGCTTACTGCATGCTGATCCGAATTGCCAGTCGTTTACTGAAAGAAACTGAGGATGGGTAAGTGTCTTCACCTAAACCTGGGTTATTTTCCATTTGCAAAGTTAATATACCTTAGAGTTTATTTCCTTTATGAATTTTTTTTGGGCAGTGCTGACTTTACAGATGAGTTTGACGTTTTTCAATTTTTTAAAAAAATTATGGAATTTCAAATCACACTTTTTGTTTTTACCTTAATGTATACTCTTGTGTATGTACTTAATTATTAATAGCACATTAAGAAACTGATATTGAACAAAAAATATATGCATTGATCATAAGATATATAGATAATTAAATATGAAAGTTGGAAGGGACATTAAGAATTATCCTATCTAGCCCTTTTATTTTTATAAAAGAGAATGTTGAAGTACTGCATTTAGTGATTTGCCCAAGATCATTCCGCAAGTCTGAGGCACCTATGTTACCAAAAAAACTTTGAAGGCTAGGGAAGGGCAGGAAAGAGAGATCTTTTGAGGTATAGTAAGCTGGGGATGGATCTAGGGAGCAAAGAAGACCCCCTCCCCAGCCTGAAAGGCTTATGGCTGAACTCCAAAGATTTCTTATGTGGCCTGGGAAACTGAGTTGTAACACAGAGAAAGATCTCTAGAATCTGCCACTACTACTAGTGTCCCGCTGAAAGGGGAAGCCTGATTTGTTCCTCAGGTCATTTGTCAATAGCAGATAACTGAATTTAATTAAAGCTGCAGCAAAGTCCTGACCCAGATCAACTATTAGCTGCTAAAAATGAAAAAGGACCTGCACTTTTTGTAATGATAAGTATTATTTACATCAGTCTCTACTGCACCTTTATAAGTAGTGTCTAGCAAACAATCAAAAAACACAAAGGCAGGGACATGTAACCCATAAACTAGAGGAAAAAAAGCAGTCAGTAGAAGCTGATTTACAGATGACCCAAATACAGAAATTAGGAGGCAGTGACTTTAGAAATTATTAGGCAGTGACTTTTAAACAACTTTTGTAAAGTGAACACCAAAGGAGTTTTGTAAAGTGAACTTTTTTAACTTTTGTAAGTTATATCTTTTCGATAAAGAGTGGAAAAGATGGACAAAATGTGTAAATGGGTAAGGAATTTAATAGATAAATAGAAACTGGAAAAAAAAATCTTGGACCAAAAACTACAATATCAAAAATAAAAATTTATTTGAAGTATAAATTTTTCAAATTTATTTAAAGTACTTGGACACAAGCAGATTGGACACAGAGAAAAAATTGGAGAACTTAAAGACAAGTCAATAGAAAATTGTCCAAACTGAAGCATAGGGAGAAAAATAAGAAAAGAAAATAAAAGAATAGAACATCTGAAGCCTAGGGAATATATCAAAAAGTCTAATACTTGTGTAATAAGTCTCAGAAGGAAAGGAAACAGAATGGAGCAGAATAAGTCTTTGAAGAGATAATGGATGTATTAGTCCATTTTCATGCTGCTGATAAAGACATACCTGAGACTGGGCAATTTACAAAAGGAAGAAGTTTAATGGACTTACAATTCCACGTGGCTGGGGAAGCCTAACAATCATGGTGGAAGGCAAGGAGGAACAAGTCACATCTTACATGGATGGCAGCAGGCAAAGAGAGAGAGCGCTTGTGCAGGGAAACTCCCATTTTTAAAACCATCAGATCTTATGAGACTTACTATCATGAGAACAGCACAGGAAAGACTTGCCCCCATGATTCAGTTACCTCCCACTGGGTCCCTCCCATAACACGTGGAAATTCAAGATGAGATTTGGGTGGGGACACAGCCAACCCATACCAATGGATGAGAATTTTCCAAAATGAATGAAAGGGACTGGGTGCGGTGGCTCACAGCTGTAATCCTAGCACTTTGGGAGGCTGAGGCAGGTGGATCACTTGAGCTCAGGAGTTCGAAACAAGCCTGGGCAACATAGTGAAACCCCATCTCTACCAGAAGAAAATACAAAAATTAGCCAGGCATACTGACACAGGCCTGTGGTCCCAGCTACTCAGGAGGCTGAGGTGGGAGGATCAGTTGAGCCTGGGAGGCAGGGAGGCGGAGATTACAGTGACCTGAGATGACACCACTGCACTCCAGCCTGGATGACAGAGTGAGACGCCCATCTCAAAAAATAACAACAAACCCAAAATGAATCCAGGATGGCCAGTGACACTCAAGTAGGATAAATAAAAGCCACACCTAATCATAACCTAGTCATATATATCACAAGTAAAAAGTTGAAAACTAAAAGAGAAAGAATGAAAGAAAAGCTTGAAAGTTGCTTTTTTAAAAAAAGGCACATTAGATTCATTAGATTCAAGGAAACAAAAAATAAGAATGGTTGACTTTTCAGAAAAATGGATACCAGAGGATAATGGGCATCTTAAAATTGTTGAAACAAATAACTGTCAATCTAAAGTTCTATACTCTAAAAGTATTCTTCCAAATGAAGGTGAAATTAAAACATTTTCAACCAGGAAAAAACAAAAACCTGAAAAGATTCGTGTCCACATATCTGCATCATGAAGGATGCTAAAAGAAATTTTTCCAGCTAAAAAGAAATGATAGTAGATGGATGCCTGGATCTTCAGGAGGAATGAAGAACAGGAAAAAGGGTAAATATGTAGGTAAATTAAAAGGTAAATATGTAGGTAAATTATAAATATATACAATTTTTACTAAAACCAGCAGCAAATTGTGGGCTTATATATATGTAGAAGTGAAATATATGAAAATAGTAGTATAAAGGGCATGAAGGAGAAAAATGGACATTTGTAAAGTTTTTGTATCATTCATGTAGTAGTATATTATTTGATGACACACTATGATAAGGATGAATATTGTAATCTCTTGATGAATATTGTAACTAACAAAAAATCTTTGTGAAACATATGGATCGTAAATGTCAACAGGGAAGATAAAATGGAATATTTAAAAATATTCAGTTGAGCTTCCTCCTTCCAATAATGGTGTAGCTTGGCCAGCTTAATCCTCCTGCAAATAATGATTGTCATTAGTACAAAGATATTCCTTCCCCAAACTTCTGGACAGAGTGGTCAAAACAGTTTGAGGTTGGAAGAGTAACTGAAAACTTAGAGTAGAAATCATGGAAAGGAGGGAGCCATAAAGGGAATAAGTCTCAAAATGAATTTTAAACTCTGCAAAAATCACTGGCTGACCACTGAACTACATATATACAGGAGAATACTCTAGGAGACCTGCCGGAAGCAGTAGTTGTAAGATGAAAGAACTGAATGGGGAATCCAGCTGCAACTCACTATGGAGGAAATAAAGTTTGGAGTTTGATCCCAGCCAAGCTTCTTGCTAAAGAAACTCCATAAGTTCTAGAGTCTTTACAGTATATCATTACAATGTTTAACAGATGGTAAAAGTTATCAGTACAAAGAATTTAGAAATGTGACTAGTGGCCAAGAGAAAAAGCAATCAATAGAAACTGACCCTGATGTGATCTAGACATTGGAATTAGCAGACAAAAACTTTGAAGCATCTATTATAAATTTGTCCATGACTTACTTTATTTATTTATTTATTTATTTATTTATTTATTTATTTCAGACAGAGTCTCTCATTCTGTCACGAAGCATGGAGTGCAGTGATGTGATCCTGGCTCACTGCAACCTCTGCCTTCCACATTGAGGCAATTCTCTCACCTCAGCCTCCCAAGTAGCTAGGACTACAGGGATGCAGCACCACACCTGGCTAACTTTTGTACTTTTTGTAGAGATGGGGTTTTGCTCTGTTGCCCAGGCTGATCTCAAACTCCTGAGCTCAAGCAATCCATCTGCTTCAGCCTCCCAAAGTGCTGGTATTATAGGTGTGCACCACCGAACCCAGCCTTGTCCATGACTTTAACGGAAAATAGTTATCATGATTGAACAGGGGAAATGGAAACTACAAAAAGAGCTAAGTAGAAATTCTGGAGCTTAAAAGTACTCTGTCAGGATTCAACCAGAGAAATAGAACCTGGAGGATATAAATATGTAGAGATTTATTTATTATGTAATTTGGGGACTAGCTAAGCAAATCTAAAATTCATAGGACAGGCTGTCAGAAAGGGAAGATTGCAGGGAGGCTGGAACTCAGGGGCCCAGGCCGAAGTTGCTCTCCATAGGTGAAATTTATCATTTCACATTTTACTGTAAACAGCAAGATAAAACTGGGTCATATCTTCATTTTTGGAATTTTCTTCAAGTAAATATCCAACTTCATTGTTTACAAGTTCTGCTTCACAAATAACTACAGGGCACAATTTCACTAAGCTGTCTGCCAATACATAATAACAAGGATCTACCTTACTCAAGTTTACATTAACATGTTTTTCACTTCCTTCTGAGCCCTCACTACAGCATCTTTTAAGTCCAGATTTCTGTAGGCAGTTCATAAGCCCTGACCAGCAGTGTCCTTAAAAACCAGATTTTTCTTTTTCTTTTCTTTTTTCTTTTCTTTCTTTCTTTCTTTTTCTCTCTCTCTCTTTGTTTCTTTCTTTCTTTCTTTTCTTTCTTCCTTTCCTTTCCTTTTTCCTTTCATTTCCTTTCCTTTCCTTTTTCCTTCCCTTTCCTTTCCTTTTTCTTTCCCTTCCCTTCCCTTTTTCCTTTCCTTCCCTTCCCTTCCCTTTTCCTTTCCCCTTTCCCTTCCCTTTTCTTTTCCCCTTTCCCTTCCCTTTCCTTTTCCCTTCCCTTCCCTTCCCTTTTCCCTTCCCTTTCCTTCCCTTTTTCCTTCCCTTTTCCCTTCCCTTCCCTTCCTTTTTTCCTTCCTTTTTCCCTTCCCTTCCCTTCCCTTTCTTAGATATAGTCTTGCTCTGCCGCCCAGATTGGAGTACAGTGGCACAGTCTCAGCTCACTACAACCTCTGCTTCCTGGGTTCAAGCCATTCGTATGCCTCAGCCTCCTGAATAGCTGGGACTATACACATCCCAGCACTTTGGGATGCTGAGGTGGGTGGATCACTGAAGATCAGATTTCTTATAAGTCTCTTCAAAACTAGGCTTCATCCATCATGCTCCTCAAAAATTCTTCCCAGC